CACCAGAGTTCCCTCATTTTGTCAATTGTTGCTGAATACTGTTGAGTCAGAACCGATCCGACCCATAACTGACCCTCCAGTGGGTTTTCAGAGGCAGTACACATCATGCCCATCCTTCTCCCGTGGAGTAGCTGGTGGATTCGAACTGCCTGCACAGCTTCTTACCACTAGACCACCAGAGCTCCCTTAATAATTTACTTAGGTCATGTTTAGGTCCTTCCATCTCCTCCCCTTGGAAACACTGGTGGTTACATAGATGGAATTTAGAAAACAGTTTCAATCCTCTATCCAGTTTCTTAACCTCTCTGCTCCTTCCCTATCCTTGCTCTGCTACTAGCTATGTGACTTTGAGCAAAACACTTAACTTTTCTGTGCCATCTTTTTCTCATCTGTAAAAGGGAGGCATTAATAGGGCACAGTTCATAGGTTTGTGGTCAGATTCAAAGAGTTATCAGATGTAAAAGGGCTTTGAACCCTGTCTGGCACAAAGCATGTGCCATGTAAGTGTGAGCTATTATTATTAATTATTGCTATTAGTGCTCTTTTCAGCCAGCTCCTCCATGGAAACCGCTTCTACCTGCAATAGCTAACTGATGGAGCTCTCTGTCAAACCTTTCCTGATCTAGCGGAGGTGGTTAAGCATCCGGGTTTCAATGAGCTTCTCCGCAGGAGACAGCCTGAGGAACTTGGCTGTCTACAAAGCTCTAATTATCATGCCCATTAATTCCTAGCCAACTCAGAGGAGAGGAGGGGAGACCTGAAGGCAAGAATTCTCCAGGACAAATGTTAAGGTCACTTAAAAATAGCTTAAAGGGCAGTAAGTGACAAGCTTTTTGCAGGAACCCCTTTGCCATGGTCTCTTTGGGGTTATCCAGAAAGGCATAGTGTGTAGTGAATTGCATGCTGGTGGCCTGGTGGGGAGAGTTGTACTGCCAACCCAAAGGTAGGTGTTTTCAAATCCACCAGCTGCTGCACAGGAGTGGGAAAAGGATGAGCAATCTCCTCCAGTATGATTTGCAGCCTCTGAAAACCTGATGACGTTTTGGCTCTGAGTTGATTCCAACTCCATGACTCATCACAAAAACTCAAAGGTGGAGCCTCTCTGATGGTTCAAATCCTCAGGAGAAAGATGGCCTGTCTCCTCCCGTGCAACTTACAGTCTCCAAAAACCTGCTGGAGGGTCAGCTATGAATCCATTCTGACAGAATGGCAATGAGTTTGAGCTTAGCTTTGAATTTCTCCCTACGACCTAAGTCCAGAGCCTTTATCCAGGGTGGTTCCTGGCCTGGGATACTTGCATCCCATGCCCCAAGTGGTCCTTGTCTGGAAAGAATGCCGCTCCCACATTTCTGTTCTAGTTTTCAAACCCGGGTCTATGCTTTTGTCATGAACACAATACATGCCTTTAAAAGCCCTGAGGGGTTCATAGTCACTGTTTGTGATTATGTGCTTAAGTCTCTCAATGAACACTCCAAATGCGGCTACTGCTGTGGATGTGGGGGTGTATGTGTATCTGAGGGAGGTGGTCAAAGAATACTTCTGACCTTTTTAATGTGACAAAGGCTGAAAACCACTGCCCGATGGGCTGCAGGGGAAGCGGGGGAGCAGCACAGAATGAATTCTGTGGTTCTCAGTCTTCTTGTCTGTCAAATGGAGGTAAATAAGAACAGCCTCTTTCCCTCCCTGAGGGCAAGAAACAGAATGTTCTGCATTCATGAGGGGATGTCCTCATGAGCCCTGCTGATGTGGTAAGAGGACTGGAGCAAGGCGCAGCACTTGGAAAGGTAGCAACCCCGGCTGCTGGGCTTGTTCTTTTCCTTGTTGTGGGTCCAGCTGGATTCCCCTGTGCCCAAGAACCCCAAAACCTTCCAGGACCAGTGTGTTCTTTTGCCTCTCTCCTTCCCTGCCCAGAGCTGGCTTTCTTTGGAACAACAACAGCAGCAACAATGCTACTCCTATATGTGACTAACAAACATCCACCGAGTTCCTCTTATCTCCTCTCATAACCGCTGTGGCCTCTGAAGTGGCAGTGTTTGTCTCTGTTTACTCAGTGTTGCCTAGGAAACGAAGTTGAGCTCTCTCTTCACCATGATTGAGTGTGGGGCAAGCAATATTCCCCTCCACCCCCACCCTTTCCTGTAGGGAAGGACTTGATGACCAGAGAGGTTTGGCTGTTGCTGGGCTATTTTCTAGGTTTTGGTTGTTTTTAAATTTTTTTAAAAATCTGTTGGTTCTTTTTCGACTGGAAAGCGGGTGTGGGAAGTCCAGGGAAGATGAGCTGAACAGTCCAAAGGTCCTTCAGCTTGTTTTTGAAAGGAGGAGGGGCTGGGGACTGTGGAGAGCTGGGTCAGGGCCCGGGAAAGGCTGCCTGGGTGGTTCAAAACATTCTAGTCTGAAGTTTGTACTGTTGTTCCCTTCCCCCCAGAGACAGCAGATCACCACATGACTTTGACCAGATGGGCAAGTATAGGCAACAAATTTGGCAGCACAAGTAGAGATGTTAGGAGTTGAATTTGCGAGGTCAGTGAGTGGGGGCCTTGAAAGGGTTTTGGTGATTGGAAAAGAACAGGTCACCACGTACACCTTTTAGAGAGAAGGATGTGTGACATTTTCATTCCATTTGGGCAGTGCTTAAAGGGGCCAAGGTGCCTAGGTCGCCTTGAGGGTTGTGGCTTAAAAAAATGGATTTCGGTTGGTATGTGCTAGAGTGTGGAGATCGAATGGAGTCCTTCCCATGGGGTGATATGTCTCCCATGTCGGGGGATACAATGGACTTGGAACTCAGCTCTTGGTCCAGGGTGGAGTCTCAGTTGAGGTGTGGTAAAGGAGACACTGAATAAGCATCAGCTGGACTAGCAGAGAACTGGGCAGAACTCCAGGTGCCAAAGATACGTGTCTGGGGCCGGAGCGCTTAGTGATAATGAATCCTGAACAGTGAGAGAGAAGGGGAGTAGGAGTTGTAACCCTTAAAATTGACCTTGCCCACAAGGTTGATAAATTTTGCCAGAGAACTCTCAGTAGCATCAAATGAAGCAGTAGGCATTGGGGCTATCTTTCCTGAGGTGGTAGCTGGGGATCAGTAGAATGTTTTAGGTTTGGTTTTGTTCACCACCTCAAATGATCGACACCCTTTCCTAAGGTGCTCTTAGTACCTTTCCCAAGGTCGATTGTCACATGGGGATTACAGTGAGGAGAAAGTATTTCATGATTCTGTCAATCTTTTCAGAACACTCATGTTTGACTCTCACCTTGCTCCCTCACATGGAGATTCTGGCTTTCTCGTTCAGACTTTCTTGGCTCCTTCCTCTCACCTGGACCCCTCAGATTGAGGATACATGCTGATAATAATAGTCACCCCGCCACTCACTCCAAAGGTCTGTGAGGAGAGCAGGAGCAGGCCAGAGTGGGGAAGATGTGATTTTGAGTTCCATTTGACCATATCTCGGTGACTTTGGACAAGTTCTTTAAATTTGCTGAGTCTCAGCTTCCTTATCAGCCAATGAATGACAAAAGCACATACTTTGGAAGGGTACTGGGTCAGCTTACGGATGGCCCACAGGAAACCCGGCACCTAGTAGGTGTTCAGTGGGAATCCAGTGAGTCAGATGACTAAATAGTTACCCCTGCTACCACCCTGTGGGGGCCTCCTATTGTCCTGTCCAGTTATACTCATTCTGATGCCAATTTTATTTCTAAAGGGTGCAGGAAAAAACAAGAACAAACGTGCGAGAGAGAGCAAAGTTTATTGAAATTTCAAGCTGTATCTGGAAAAATCAAAATCCAAATCCTGAAGACAGATGTCAGGATAAGGTGTCAGAAAAAAAAAAAAATCACAGAACTCCCCAGAGACAAACTCCCTGAGCAAATTACCCAGGCACCCACCAGATCGAAACCAGCCCCTTGCCCACCCCGGATGCCATCAACTCAGCCGCTCCACTCCCTCACAAGTTTTCCATAAGAATAATAACAATAAAAAAAAAAGGTTTGTAAATGGCACTGTGAAGTCCAAACTAATCTTCTCTTAACCCCATTCTTTGTAGTCAGCACCGGTGAATGGTGGGTTTGACATTCAGAAGAAGACCTCACATGGACAGATGGGGAGAAGGTTGCAGCAGCCAAGGCACCTGTGGCCACGTTCTGATGCTGGCCCCCCACCCCTGCCCTGCCTTGACACTTTCAGCTTACTTAACCTAGAGGACAAAACTGGATCAACTTGGAACACCATCAAACAATGAGCCATTAAGAGACAAGGGGCCAATCAATACACCCCAAAGCTGGTTAGTCCCTTCAACATGTAGGTGTATGTTTATATGAATACATCACTACACTAAGATATAGATCTAGCCCTATGGGTATATATATATATGCATTTATGGCTATATAGAAAATACTATGCCAAAACTAACCAAACAGAACTTTGTAAGCGGTCATCCCAAAGCTGTAATCCCACACTGAGCTGTGCACGCTGCCATGCATTATACCATATTAACCAACAGGAGGCTGATTTGGCTCAATCTCTCCCATCTGTTCTCCCTGCCTTCACGAGGCAGGAGAGAAGAGAGAGGTTGCCTCTGCTCAAAACACAAGTGGCTTCTTCATAGGAACAGTCGTCAAGTGAAGCTGTTGAAGATGTCCGTGGAAATGAAAAGCAGACCCCTATACTCTCTGGAGCAAACTGGCATCTCCTCTGGAGCTACCCTTTCTCCTTGCCAGCTGCAATTAAGTGGTCCAGGCCCCGGGAGCCCCTGGGGCACGGTGGCATTAGAGGATCACTGGCTTGGGGTGGCTAAGCCCCATGCAACTCAGCTTCCAGAGACTGAGTCAGGGGTCTGTCACTGGAGTGGACCCAGGTGGCCATGTCCTTGGGACATCTCTTGGCACCAGCTATGCTAGGTGTAAAGTTCTCCACGTGAGATGACGCTTGGGGAGTCAAAAAACAAACTGGAAAGAACTAGGTAGAACAGGTTTAGTGGCTCTGCCCACCATGAGGACAGAGCCACTTACACCGCAGAACCACCAGGGGCTTCCGGTGCATGTGAGGACTCGGCGGGGGCAGGCTCTTCAGGGCTCAGGCGTGACTGGAATTTCTCCAGTTGCTCAGGGCTGGCCAGGGTCTTCAGCAGAGTATTCTCACGCTCCAGTTGGGAATTCTTCTCCACCAGCTCTCGGATCTGCTCCTTCAGGATCTCCACCTCCTCTCTTACGGCATACATAAGATGATTCTTCACCAGGTCCTGCCACCAAGCAAAGAACAACCAAGCTATGCATTAGCACCAGCCACAATCACTTCCACAGTGCCACCAGTCAGCCCTGGGTATCCCTGTGCAGTCCCTCATATTCATGCTCTCTATCCTTCCTTCCAGCCCTCTTCCCCATGCACCTTTCTCCAGGACCCTTCAGTCTTCCTTCGGGAGACTTCTTGGTGGGATGACTTGTAATAATACCACAGGGCATCCCACCCCATCCCCAGTGCTTATAAGGGCTTTCAAAGCTAGTTGGTTCAGGGGCCTGTGGAGAGAGACTGCTGAGGAATGGTGACTTCATATGTCTCCATTTCAACAGTAGGTTCTAAGGCTGGCCCACATCCCAAGGAGGACCTGCAATGCACTCCCTACCCTCTGTCAGATTAATGGAGTTTTGCTGAGGGAGAAATGAGCCTTTGAGATGCCTTCCTTTCCTTCCTCCTGATCAGCACCCAGTGTGCAAACCTCCTGCAACAAGGCCACAAAGGACACTGGCCCTGGTAAAAGGCTTAAGAGTGGCTGTAGCCTTCTCTGAATGTCAAGATTGCACAATGAAGGATCTGACAACTACTGGCAGCTCTGGACCCCAGAAGTCCCTCTGGGTGGAGGACCAACCTCTACCTGGAAGACAGAGAGCAGGGGTGGGATGCTCTGCTTCCTTGTTATCTCCCAACTCTTGACCCTAGCCCCTGGGCTCTGCAGAGGCACTGCAGTTAGCTGGCATCCAATGAGCTCTGCCCCCTGCCAACTGCGGGATGCAGACAGATGCACGACCCTGTGTGCTGCAGGTCCAGGAGTGGAGCCAGGAGCAGAGCCAGAGGCTGGCACAAAGCTCTGGGACCAAAAGGGGAGGAAAGGGGGAGCCCAGCAAGGGCAGACCTGTGCTCTCAAAAGAATAGACTTCAGGGGGGATGGGAAACATGCTGTGGACTTCCTCAAGCTCTTGGGTTCATCCCCTTAGTTTTGCCCCGAGTTACATAAGCAGCAGGCAGCTCTGAGGATGCGAATGAATGACGCAGTGAAGTCACTCACCATGGCCTGCTCAATCTTGTTGTCTATGGCCACCACGCTGGCACCAGATGCACTGCCAAGACAAAAAAGCAAAGCGATTGTGTTACCCACGCGTTTAGACTCTAGCTGGCAGCCATGTGCAAAGTTCTCCATGGAGCCCCAGTTCTTCCTCTCTCCTCTCTCCTGACTCCCTGGTCCAGAGCGCTGGGCCATTTGTCCCAGGTCCTTTCCTCAACCACCTCATGCTGGGTGGTCAGCTGGCTGCCCACCGTAGGCATTCGCAGACCCGGGAGTGGCTCTGGCCAAGGCAACCTGCTCGCCCCACCCAGGTGACAAGGAAAACAATGGGAGCCCAGTGGCTTGGGGTCCTGCAGCTGGCTCAACCGAGATCCCAGGCAAACCTACCGGGCTCCGAAGCTAGCAAGGGATTCCTGCACAGCTCCGAAGCTTCCAGCCTGGCCTCCCGGGCAGCACACAGTACGTGGCCAGCCCTCTGCCCAGCCCCGTCCCACCCTGTTATCCCCTGGCCTCGCTGCCCCACTGCAGCGGCTGCCTCTGCGCTGCTGCAATTCTTCCAGGCGCAGCAGCGGCTGCAGGGACGCTCCCACGGTGGATCCCAGCGCGGTGGTGACATCTCCCCCCTCCCTGCCGTCCCCGTCCCCCTCCCCTTCCCAGGATGCTGCACCGCGAGGGACCAGAGCACCACGCTGGCTTGGAGATCCTACTGGAAGCAAGCCGCCACCCCCCCCCCCGCACCCGGTTCAGTTCGGTTCGGAGGAGCCAATCTTGAGGCCAGTGATTTTACCTGTTATCCAGCTTAACGGAAACCACATCCCCTCCAAGCAGCGAAGAGAAGAAAGAGATGGAGAAATTGCGCAGCTGGTAGACCGCCACCTCCATGGGGGTCTGATACATTTCAGTGTTCATGGTGCAGACGGCCGGGGAGCTCTGGAGCTGCACGGCTGCAGCTTGTGGGGGGCTGTGCGGGGCTGGGCTAAGAGCGGGCACTGGCTGCCAAGTGGACCCAAAGACAGGCAGGCGCTCCAGCTGGAGTTGAAGGGAAGTGCCTCGAAGGGGTGTCACCTAGTATGTCACAAACTCCACAGCCAGTCCAACCCAGACTCAGGAGATATTTCTGCTTCTGCTTCTTTATATAGGAGGAGCCGGCTGCGTCACATGGCGTCAGGGGCCATGCAAATGAGTTCTGTACCGGGCTCTGTGGCCCAGCAAACCACATCCCCGCCCTGAACCTTCGGTGGGGGAACTGTAAACAGTTCAGCACTTTCTTGTGCCAACTGGCATCTCCCAGAAAGGAATCTGAAGCTTGGTAAAAACCAAACTGGAGCCGAACCCGAAGAGATGGGCGAGTGCTAGAGAAGTCAGAAGCAGAAATGCCATGACAGGCGGGGAGCTCTTCTTGAAGTGACAGCCAGAGGACTCTGCAGGCTTTGCAAGACTTGTGCATGGGCACCGTCAGGAGACTCACTTTCCTCCCACTGCCTGCCTTCTCAGCCTCTCTCCTGTGCATACATTTTGCCTACTGCATGCTTAGCTTACTCTCTCCCCCTACCCACTCAACTGTCTCCTCACCCAGCTTGCCCTAACCCCCTGCACCAAATCCACTCACCTCCTCCTCCCTAAGGCTAACCTATGCATGCCTGTGCATGGAGGAGGGCTGTCCAGGAGCTCAGATGAGTAGATGAGAGCAACTGGACTGTGGTGGGTGCCCAAGAAGGTGCAGGAGAGGCAGAGGAGGGAACCCTGGAGCAACTACAATATAGCAAGCATCCTGGTCTTCATAGCCTGCTCCACAAAGAAAGTAAATCCAATAGGATCCAGGACTCTACGTCCTTGTTTTCTTTTGTTGTTTGGTTTAATTTTAAGATTTTTTTTCCACTTCCGCATGAACAGCAATGACCACAAGGCTACAAGACCAAGGCTATAAATAAACCAACCATCCCAAATAAACACCTGCCCTGTGATGGATTTCAGCCACATCAGGGGAGGGTCAGCCCTCCAAAACAAAAACATATTCTAAAGGGCAAGGAACTTGAAGAACTCAGTTTTGCCTAATAACAGTTACATATGTTTCCATCCAAAACATACTTTCATTCTTTCAGCCTCAAGCTTAAAAACAAAAAAACAAAAGGCATGAGCCCTGAGGTTCTTTTCTCTTACTCCTTCCTAAGTGAGGCCACCTAGTGGACAGAAGCAGAATTATGGCCAGAAGGAGAAACCTGGGCAGGACAGAGGACAGGTGATGCAACTGGCAGTATTATTTACACCAATCCAGGACCATAAGAAGAACATTGAGTTTCACCACATATAAGATAGTTTGGATGACTCTAAGGCCAGCACCCACAAATCTGTGCTCCACAGGCTGTAGTCTAGAGAAACAGTCTAATGCAATCATGCTATTGGAAAAGTACTGGGGCTTCTTATCAGCAAACAAGGTAATTATTACTTGCTTCGGGATACTTCTCTTAACCAGGTGCCTGGCACTGACACCCTGGCCAAGGCCCCAGCTAAGCCCAATATGAAGGCCTCGATTTCCTCCAGGTTCTTTTTCACTATGACTTGGGGTTCCCATTGAATTTAATTGGTGGTAACACATGCACAACCATTACTCTATTTGCAAAGGGTTGACAAACAGAACTATCTAAGCAAAGCTACTCTGCTAGCCTAGCTGGGGTTATTCTTCACCACAGTTGTAGGTGGGAGGTGATCCCAATCTCAGGACAGTCTGTTAATGCTGAGGTCACAAACTTAGTGAGCATGGTGTTTGAAGTAGGCAGTGTGTTTGAATTAGAACCAAGTGCAGGCTATAGTTATAGGTTATTAAGAACATTAGCTGAGAAAAACTTCCTATATCAGAAGCTTGATTGATACTGGAATTCCATAACATATTAATCTGCCCTCTATGACACCTAAGAGCCTTCTTGGTCCAGGATGTCTCTGAAGTGATCTTTTATGAGCTTGTAAAATCCTTCTGTCCTAAACTAACAATTTCTACTCACCCTAAGAATCCAAGGGAGATGATGAGAAGAAAAGAGGAGAAATATTCCGGGGTGATGGCAGGGGTGGGGGGAGGAAGTGTGGAACACTGCCAACAAGATAGGGCACAGAGCAAAAGAAAAACAACTTGTTCAGTTTGTGGTGTGCCGTTGAGTCAGAAGATCACCAGGCCTTTCCTCCAAGGTTCCTCTGATGTGAACACAAAACTTTTGGTTTGCAGCTGAGTCCGTATTCAACTGCACTCAAGGTAAGTGAAAAGGGAACTGCAGTTTGAAACTAACTGACAATAAGAAACAAAAAACCAAACCAGAAGCTGTTGATTGCAACTCGTGGCAACCCTATGAGTAGGCCTAAGCTAGACAGGGCTTTCAGTGGCTAATTTAGATCACCTGGCCTTTCTTCCAAGGTGCCTCTAGGTGGACTCGAACCTTTAACATTCTGCTTAACTATCAAGTGCTTAAGTGATTGTACCACCCAGAGATTCCACATTAATTATACTTCAGTGCAGAGATAGTAGGCTTGAGTTGGAGAATAAAAAATAGTAACTAGAATTAAAATCCAAACCAGTTCTATTGCGTTGATTCCAACTCAGACAAGGCTGTGAGTAAAATGGCTCCATGGGTGGACTCAAATCTCCAACCTCTGGCTTCACCGCCAAGTGCTTAGTGGATTACATTACAGAGTCTCCATGGGAAGCTGAGTTTGAGTCCTACTGACAAAAAGTTGCTACCATGGGCTAAGTAGTGGCTCTGGCTCAGGCACTGTGCTGGCTTTACTGCAAGCCATACATGGTGGGGACTTCATCACCACCATTTTACAGGAAACCAAAGCTTCAAAAAGGCTAACTTGCCAGTGGTGGCACCGCTGGGACTCCAGCCAATGTCTCCCTGACCTAGAGACCATGTTTTGCTCCCACTACACTTCACAGTAGGGCAGGGAAGAGGTTGAGGAAGGGATGCTTATTGAAAGAGTAAGGGCTGGAATGAACCAGCTGGGGGATGGGACAGAGCTGCAAAGAGAGAGGAAGAAGAAGGGGAGGGGGTAGAAACCCACAACAACAAGTGGTCAGGGACAAGAGAAGTGCCCCTAGGAGATGCAAGGGCCAGGGCGGTGTAACTGGCATTTCTTGATCCTCAAGGCTGGTGGAAGTGTGAGGTGGAGGGAGAAAGGGAAGGAACAGAAGACTGTCCCAAGCTGTCCCACTGTACACTGAGTTTTCTAAGAGGGCTGTGTGTGCTCCAGGCCATTTCAAAAGGCAGCCAAAGAGCCCTCAAAGAAAGCTAGGAAAGAGGAAATATTCATTCATCCAGGTGGCTCCCAGGTCGTGACCGCGCACAGCTCTCTGGGGTATACAGTACTGCAAACAAGGCCCGGAGTCAAGGAATGCTAATCACAGTCTGGTCAAACCCCAAGGCTCGGGGGGGGGGGGGCCGGGGCCGCTAACTGGCACCCTTAATTCATTCCTGGTTTGTTTCGTTGGTTATTCCCACACCCCCTCCCCAATTCCTGCAGTTGCTCAGCTTTTAGGAGAGACAGATTAACATGAAAACAAGCTCATGGTGGCGAGTCATCACCCTGACACCTTGGCATCTTCCTTTAGCAAACAGCAACTGGGCCCCAGGGTCAGCTCCTAGGGGAAGAAGATGGACTTACAACATCACAGTCAGATTTTCCACCAGGGCAGGGGGTTTGGGGGTGGGGAGAGAAAGGAAGGAGGAAGCCAGAGAGTTTTGTTCTGCTTCACCTCAGCACACCAGCATGTTCCTCTGCCTAGAATAGCTGGGCCAAGCCATGCAGCGAGTGGAACTTTATGCTGGCCCTGATTATCTATGATTTGATCGAACATGACTGAGGAAAAGTGCTGAGCTGTGAGGTCCTCAGTGTCCTTGTGTCCTTCGCAGGTGGGCCCCACACAACACAGGAAGCAGCAGCCTATGACCAATCCATCCACAGCCAGTGCCCCCAGCAGGTAGGTCTCCAAACACCCTCCCTTACAGCCTACAACTTGCAAAGGAGGCTGGGCAGCAGTGAGACATACACCTCTGTCAGGAGTGAACT